ACCATTAGTACCACCCCAAACAAGCTAAAACCTGTTATCACCATCACATGGCCTCAGTGCCCCTAAGTGTGTGGCCTTAGAAATAAAAGAGCAGGTCTTACCTTATGTCGTGGAGATCTATAGATTGCAAAACAAAAAGGAACAGATTAGAAGGAAATCGTTGGCTTCATTTTCAAAGAACAGTTAGTGCGAAGAAGGGCTGCCAAACAAACCATAAAAATGAGACAGCAGAAGGAAGTGAACGTAGGGACGAAGTATGGAATCTACAAGGGTTCTTGGATGTGTACCGAAAATAGTCAGACAGATGCAAAAAGTGGAGGGAGAGGGGACATATTGGCGACCCACATCGTCGAGATCCGCTCCGCAACTCTCGGTTGACAGATTTCGAGTCATAGTACGGTCTCGTCTTATGTCTCCTCCCAGCCACCATCCCTAAGCTTCTCGACTTTCATTCCTGCCAGAGCAATAGGTCCCACTTTCCCTGCAGACCAAGGATTGGGCTTACGCTCCAGCAGGATTTAACCTCAGCAGCCAGTCACGGTGGCCGATGCCCCAGAACTTTTCGTCACACGCAGTGTTGTAAAGGTCTGCAAAAAATGAAAATAAAATTTCTGGTTATTGTTGCTCTGATAGACCCATCTCTAGGGCGGTGATTGGACCATAATACGTCTCCGACTGTTGTCCACAGCCAGGTAAGTGATCCTCAAGTATGACCTCTGCCCAATTACTTCAGGTAAAACGTTGTTGCTTACAGGCGGGTGGACATTTAGGTGCCGTATGCACATAATAGGCTGAAAACAGCATATCTTGCGTTGAACTGATGACTTACCTCTGAACAGGTAGGATGGATACCGATGGTATGATCAAAGTCCTCCTTTCTCGCACCCAGACGCATAGCAACAGCGTAGCCCTGTGTAACCTCGCCAGCGTTGGGACCGAAAACATGGAAGCCTACCACGCGGTTGTCCTATAGAGATCCATAAAATTGCCCTAATATGTCACTCCACTCCGATGCAACACTCAGCGAATAGTTATATTATACGGGAACGCATTGCATTAGAATAAAAATTATTCCTTTATGAAACAACGACTTGCAGAAATAAATTCGCGATTTAAATCCAAATTTGAACGTTTAGATCCATCCTAGTTTCACTGCTGTGCTAGCTATAACAAACATTGTTTTGAAGAAAAAACCTTGGTTCTAATAGACCCTGAAAACGCGAATCGCACTGAGTTAATACTGCAATGGCATTCGTTGCTGCGTGGGAAGGCAATAGAATTTGGAAAGTAAGGCATTAGAATTTGCATACAGTCTTCATGCAGTGTGATGAAAACTGCACATAAATTTGTGATGTTAATGCCAGTCGCATAACACATAATGAAACTATATGTTCCGACTTTCAGAAACATCCACGAAGGCAGGAAATTAAGACAGTTTATTAAGGGGATGAAAGAGATTCTCTTAACTCGATCCCACGCTAATAAACTTGAACGGAATCAGCAACTTCACGAATTGTAATAATTTGCTTATTCGGTTGTCTGTATGGGTGATGATCACCATGTCGAAGTGTAGCTTTTAAAAACGAGTAGTTAGCCAAGCCTAATGCCTTTTACTACCAAATGGAAAGTCTCCGAATGGCAAATGGACAATTTCTGCTCTGGAAGCAGGAAGCAGAAAACTCACGTCTTGTTTATTGACAATGAGTTTTGCGTAACAAGTATTACTTGGGCGATGAGGAACAGTCCACTCAAGTGGTTGGAAGTAGGAATGAAAGACCTAAAAGTAATAGAATAAGCTAAACAACTATTATTAAAAGAAGCACAGTGAGGACGATTTGTGAAAGCGCTCGCCTCGATATTGTCTTTTCCGAATTTGCTGATAGCATTCTCCTCAGAAAGACCTATACACCCATATTCAAGAGGAGTGAAAACTGTTGTTGGGACATTAACATAATCCGTCTGAAAATGCAAAAAAAAAACAATTTTACTTACAAGGGAGCGATGAGCCCATACTAGGACAAAATAAGAACTGTTGACCAACGCCCAACAAAGAAAAGC